ATGATGATGTAGCAAAAAAAAGTGTCACGACCTGTAGCAGTGCTTTGGACATTTAGGCGAATTAATCTTTTTGCAAAAGCTATCCTTCATTCCATCACAACAAGCCTAAAGTACACCAGAAATTCGTGAACAGTTTTCGAAGTGAATGCTACAGAACAAAATCCAAAGCAAAATTTGCAGTGAAGTTTTTCGACTAATTTAAATAAAGAGAAAGAAATCAATTTAAATATCATTTAAGCAATTAGCTGTCAACAATTTTTTTTCCACGGTTTCTAGTATTGATATCAGATAGTCATATAATGCATATATGTGTTGACCTCAACAAGTTCGTTGTCGTCGTCAATGATCATATCAGCAAACAGCTTTTTCAATTTTTTTACCGGGCAAAACTCTTGACAACCAGGTATAATTGTATCATGCAAATAGTTCGAGTCCGTTTGGTTTCTATACAATAGCTGAAAAATTCTGCTTTTTAAATTTCTTGCTTTAACGCAGTACCAACTTGCAGCAAAAAGTTGTTTTACAGTTACCTTTACAACAGTGCCGCCTTTCGGTGTCTGATAAACCTCCATTATGAGACAAGCAGCATAGGGTATCAGCGTCCCATCCCCAATTCCAAATGCATACATCAGGGATGCAAGAGTACCGTCGTGCTGAATAGTACAACATAAGAAAATAAGAAAAATTTTAAAATATTGATGACAAAAAAACTGATTCACAATTTTCCAGCTTCAGCAACTGGTTTTCAAAAATTTTTAACTTTTAAAGAATGTGTTTAAATAGTGTCTCCAATTAGAAACTATTTTAAAACCAAAAAAGACAAGAAGCGACGTTACTCTTCTCAGCAAACCAACTGTAGCAGTTGCTTACCGTTGAATAAAGGTTCATTTTTTGCGGTTGAACTGTTTTACCACTTGAAATGTTAACAGCCCTAGAAACCCAGTCTCCCAGAAGCAGCCCACCGCGAAGACGAGCCTTGTTCGGTGAATCAAACTCGCTAACCCTCTCAATTCTTTTCAACTCCGTCACAATTTCCAGCGTCGTTTGATTTTCATGCTCCGGCCATCGCTTGTATACCCAGTCTGGTTGCGGCAAATGATGAGTGATCTAAGATGTGGCAACGTATAAAAGATTTCCCCTAGAAACACCTTCATTTTAACTTCTACAGTTAGCAATATTACTACTCCGGAATATGTTGCTAAAACCTGTGATTAATGTAGGAGAACCGAAGGAAAATCTAACCTCTCTGTTCAGATTGTTTAACGAAGCAGCTCTACGAAAATCAACTTTTTCGTAACCAGTAACATTTTTTAAAAACTCAAAAAAATCAGAATACTCCTTATTCAACTTCTCAAAAGCATCTTTGTTCTCGTGATCTGCCACTTCATCGTACAAACTACATTCCCAATCAGTTGGTCTTAACATCTGAAACTAATGCAAGTAGCCGTACAGAATAATAGTAGCTGATCTGAGAGGGATTTTAGGGTTTTATCCATTCTGATTTAGTGTGTAGCGAAACTTCTCTGCGATACTCACAGCATCTGAATCTCCAAAAGTTCTTGAATAGAAGGGAAGCGGTTGCCAGCTTTCACCGTTCATCCAAACGTCCTCTGCATTAGCCGGAAACATTCCGCGAAGGAAGGCTTGAGCACTGACAATAGCTCTTTCGCTGTTTGTAGATGTAACCGAAATCTAAATTTTGAATGTACTGCTTGAGGCGTTTGGTTCTTTCTGAGAAAAAAATGTTTCCAGGAAAGGCAATTTTTTCTGAAACTGATATTACTGATCATACTCACTTTTTTCATATCAAACCTGTCGCCTATAAATTGTTTGTATCGACTGCCAAAAAATTCACCTAAGTCGTATAGCTGTTTCATACCAACCTGCAATCAGTCTTTTTTTTTCTGCTGGTGATTAAACCGTTGGCACAGAGACGGTTAAAACTGCAGAAGTTACGCAATAATTTATGAGGTGCAAAATTCTATACTAGAAGAGATTTACTGAAAGAAATTTTCCAAGTGCAATTATTCAAACAGTTTTGTAAACTATTATGTGAACTTGATTCAGTGGAATTTTATTATTTTAAAAAAAATTCTTCCAAAAATTTTCCACTTTTAAATGTTGTTTCTCAGTATTTGAATCCCATATTTACAGACACAAAAGACTGACAAAATAAGGTTTTTTTTGGCAGTCATTGCTGCCAACTGTTTTTGCAGTTATCCTTTCTTTCACTACACTCAATTCTTGTTTTCCAGTTTTCCACCATTATTTCCCGTTAATTTAAGTGGCATTATAAATTAAGAGCTTCATCGTCAGATGGAACAGGTGGATACGCAGTAAATGAGTAATTAGAAAATCAAGAATCAGAAAAGTTATTTATTCAAAATGATTAAGCTTTTTTTGTGCTTCACAAAACAGTAGATTTCTTTAAAGTTTTTTCGTCTTTTTTTTTTTTTT